ACTGGTCCCCCAGAGACAAATAGCCCTCTGCAGCCCACCTGAGTCACTCTCTTTGTTCCCCTGCCCAAGTGACACCACCTTGAAAGACACTTTTCTCAGGGGCATGGCTCTCCTGTGGTGGATATGGAGGCACTCCTGTTTCTTAAGCCAACCCAGTTCATGAGGAATCAGAACCATGCCTGTTTCTACCCAGAGGGTCCTGGGCAGGCCCAGGGTCTTAGGAGGGCTCAGACCTGAGCTTAAACAGCCTATGCTGGTTGTAGGGTGAGCACAAAACCAATGCTGACAGCTTCAGCTTCAAGAGCCTGCTGCTCTGCTCCCCGGGGCCTGGTTTGCCCCCTTCTCCACTTGGCTGTAGACCAGGCCAGCAGCAGGGGCCACACTGGCTGTTCTGTGCAGTTGGGAAAACCTCCATGAAACCCTGGGTTCCCTGAGTGATGGGAGGGCAGCCACCGCTCTGCCCTGTTGAGCACCCCCCTCCCGTCACAGGCCCCTCTGCATTGGCCTTCCAAAGCTGTGTTGTTGCAGGTAATTAAAGGGTTTTAATTAAATTAGGATCCCATCTGGCTGGGATCAGTCAGGCCCTTAACGAGGATTGTGTGTCACCAACATCAGAATGTGGAAGGGCCTCAGATGTGTGGGGGCTAAACTTGGAGACTGGAGGCCTTTCAGGCGGGGTAGAGAGTCCTTCTGAGCCCCCCAGGGACTCCCTGCAATGCAGCAGCAACTTGGTCCACCTCCAAAAATGGAGGCTGTGTGCCTCAATGCCAGAGGCAGGATGAGTACCAGGGCCTTCTCAGGTTCATTCTTGCCTATGAGTCTATAAAACCTCTCTGATGTGCAGCAAGACACGTCAGCATTATGTCATCTCTACAGATAAGGAAACTGAGGTCCACAGAAGTAAAGTCCACATCCAAGGAATCAGGTAGGGCTAGATTTATCTATAAGAAGTGGAAATCCAAAGCACAGTGGCTTAAATAAGATAGAAATTTGATTTTTCTCTTAAAAATCGGAAGGAAGGCAACCTAAAGCTTGTATGATATTTCTAGTCCACAAAATTTTCTATTTAACAAAGTTTTCAGGGACTGCGACTTCTTCTAGTTCATCACTCTGCTCCTTTTGGGATGTAACTCTCATTCCCATGGTCTAATATGGCAGCTAGAGCTCCAGCAATCACAAACATATTCCAGGCAGCAGGATGAAAGATGGAAAAAGAAGAGGCCAAGAGTGTACATCCACTGTCTTCCTGGAAGCTGCCAAATAACCCTTTGGTTTATGTGTCATTAGCCAGATCTTAAACACATGGCTACATTTAGGTTGCAAGGGAAGCAGAGAAATGTAGTATTTGTATCAGGCAGCCCAGTGCCTAGCTAAAAACTGAGGATGCCATTACTATGGAGAAAGGGGAAATAGATACTATGGGACAAGTAGCAACCTCCTGCTCTATGGGGCAGAACCAGGACAGGAGCCCAAGTCTCCTACTTCCAGCCTGGGGCCTGTACACCAGTCACAGCAAAAGCAAAGCCAAACTTAACAGAGACCTCCCTCTGAAAACAAGAGAGGAGGAAGTAACATTCGCTGAGTCACAGGTTTTCCCAGCAATGCTCCAAGATAGGTACAGCCTTACTTTTTCACAGAAGGAGACTGAGAGATTATGCCATTTGTCCAAGGCTCTCAGCTAATACGTCCCCAGGATGAGGACCCAGATATATATTCCTGTCCACTCGTGTTGCCAGTTCCTTGGCAGGTACCAGCTTGTCCCTGGGGATCATTGAGCTAGGTGGCCCTGAGACAGTGAACTGGGAGGCTCTGAACTAAGCATCCTTCACTTGAGTTGTTATCAGATCAGCCTTTGAACTTGGCAGGCCAACAGGAAACAGGGTCCCCTGTGGAACCAGAACTCAGTGCCCAACTGCTGAGTGCCAGGTCTCCTCTGGCATTTGTGCCTTGGTGATGGTGGCAGCTCCCACCCCAGGACTCTGGCATAAACGCAGGTGCCATCTTGCACCCGATTTTGCTTCCACGTGGTGGGGCTGGCAGTGCCTGTCCTCGCCTTTCACCCCAGCCCCCGTTCCTCCTGGCAGTACCACAGGGCTCAGAGGCTCTCCCACTCCCAACCATGACACTGGATCCCTTCCCATCACAGAGAAACTGGGTCATTGTGTCTCCCACACCCCTCTTCCTACCCACTCAATAATCCAGGCCCCTGTCACCCCATGACCTTTGGCTGCCTCCACCCCCCCATACACACCCTACCCCCAGCCCCCTCCCCAGCCACCACCTTTGCAGCTCTGAGCATGGAGGCTTGGGGCTTGCCTCGGGAGTGTGCCACCTGCATTCCTGTGAGGCTAGGGGTGTGGGGGGCCGACTCAGTTCCCGCTTGCTCATCTCAGGAAAGGAGAATGAGGGGTCTGGGAGGGGAAAGGAGGGAGGAGGGACCCCAACACCCATTTGCTTTTGTCTTAAGTTTCATTCACAGGAAGACTCAGCATTGCTGCCAGTTGACCTAACATGTATTCCCTCTTTTTAACTTCACAGGCCGCTGGGAAGATTTGCTCCATTAGAGATGGGACCACTGAGGCCCAGATAACACCTGTGTGCCGGGCTGGGGGACAGAGGCAGACTCCAGGTATTCTGATGCTTAGAAAAGAGCAAGCTTTTCCCCTGCATCCATACTGCAGTTCTTGCCCTCAGGGAGACCCCAGTTCTAAGAGGGAGGCCCAGATGCTGGTCTCAGGAGCTCTTCAGTCTGACGTGGAGGTACAGGGTGTGTCCTCAAAGAGCCCCTGGTCTAGTAGACTTGCCCCAAGGCTCTACTCAGTTGAGTAGGTTGAGCAGATTGGGAAGCAGCCTGGTCTCTGAAGGGCAGTGGTGGGGAGACCAAAGTGTTGGGGTGAGAGTAGGACCCAGAGCTTCTCTCTGGGGAAGGAGACAGACTCCTTCCCAAGAAGGGTGCTGTCCTGTGAGTGTCTGAATGACAAGAGCAGGGGCTCAGAGCATGGGGCACCTGGTGTCCCAGACACTACTCACCAGGGGCAGAGTTGGGGCCTTGGTAGCCAGAGGCAGTTGGATGGACCCTTTCCCTTGTGAGGACCAAGGGAGCACAGGAAGGACCTGGTGATGGCAGGGACAGCAGGGGCCAGAGGGCTACTCCAAACCAATTATGAGGCAGGAGGAAATCCTAGCAAGATCCTAGCTGAGAAGAGCAGCTGGGTTATGAGGATGGCAGAAAAGGAGGGATGAGGCAGCAGAGTGTGCGTGCCAGTGAAATGAAGTTATTAAAGTGAACCCACCCCCTGCGCAGGCAGAACTGTGTGCCAGGCAGGCCAGCCTCCAGCTGTCGGCAGCATCTGGCTCTCCACAGGAGGAGAGGAGCCAAAGCAGGTGGGCCAGAGTGCCCCCAGGTCCTGAGGGTAGTTCGGCCAGGCCAGGTGCAGGCCCAGGACCACCGCCCTCACTGTCCTCCCCCAGTGCCCACAGGGCTGTATGGGCAGTTGTGTATGGTGGGCATCCGCAGGTAGGAGAACACATCAGATCCAGCAGCTGCAACACCCCCCTCACCCCCCTATGGTAGGGCCTGAGCCCCAGGGCCTCTCTGAACTCTAAGCACCTGTCCCCAGGGTGGGGTGGGTGAGAGGGCATGGAGGAGTGGGGGGAGGGTCTCAAATCTCTGCTTAGGGGACATGATCCTGGGAAGCCTAGTGCAGGGAGAGAAGCTGTAATGGGAGGGCGAGCTCAAATTGTGTGCACTTCCTCAGTCACTGCTATAGCAAGAGGGCTTCTGCTGTGCAGTGTGGGAGGCACTGGTCTGTGCTGGTGGGAAGGGGGGACAGGGTTGGGGTGGTGAGACCATCCTACCCTCATGCTGGAACTGTCCTTACTGAGGCTATAGGGCCAAAAGGGACCCGGGAACCTAAGTGACATCTTCCCAAGAGAACAGACCTAAATGACCTCCAGAGAGGGCACTGTGATCTTAGTGGGAGCCCCAGTCCTCCCCTCACCGAGCCCCAAAAGGCCCAGCTAACTCCCAGATGAGGGACCACCAGCAGCCATCCATTCTATCAGCTGGGGCAGAGGATGGCTGCTTTCAAGGCCCCTTTAGTCCCCAGCTACCCAGCTTGTTCCTGCACAAGCATGTCATCAGCTTGGAAACCCAATGCCTGTGATTCTCTGAAAGGACCCTTCCCAGGGGACTTTCTCAGAAGCAGCTGGAAGTCATCACTGGAAGAGGGCACCAGAGGTGTCTCCTCATCCTAAGGAGCTGGAGCCAGAAAGGGACTTAAGAGGTCATCCGGGTGGTCCTCAAAGTGTGGTCCCAGGACCAAAAGCATCAGGTCTACCTGGACCTCATTAGAAAGGCAAATTCTTACGTCCCATTCCAGACCAGCTAAATTAGGACCCAGAAAGCTGTGTTTTAATGAACCCCATTGGTGATTCAGACACCCACTCACATTTGAGAACCTCTGGGCTGGGCAAGCTCATTGTATAGAGAAGAAACAGAAAGGGATCCAGAGAGAAGAATGGACTTGCCCAAGGCCACCAAGCAAAATACTGACAGAGCCAGCACCCCCTTCCCCCACCACCACTGCGCCCAGATAGCAGCCAGGGAGGCAACACAGAGCTCTTTTATGCGGCCCATCCTGCCTCTTAGCTCTTGCTTCCCAAGCTGCTTTGCAGATGCTGCCCCTTTTCCACATGAGCACCAAGCACAGAGGTCACCCAGCTTTCTTGGTAACTTGGGAGGGGCCCGGAGAGGGAAGCCCTGGAGCCTTCAGTGAGCAGCAGCTCCACAGCCATTGGAGCCCAGCAGCCCTGGTCTCCAGGAAATGTTCTGCACCACCTGAGAAATGCTGGCTGGACTGTGGGGCACCCAGAGCCCTTCCCTCCCCCGAAAACAACTCAGAACTAATGCCCCGGGGAAAGCTTTATTCCCTGCTCCAGAACAAGATTCTGCACACAAAGATCAACAATCAGGTGATTTCAGGAGACCTCCCTCCCCCTCCCCCTCCCACGCCCACCCCACAAGACAGACACTAGGGAACAGGTCCAGCATGCCCTCTGCACTCTGGCCTCACCCAGCCCAACTGAGGGCCCTACAGGCCAGGAGGGACAGCACCATCCCTCTGAGGGTGAGCCCTAGACTGAAGGGCGAGGCTGGCTAGTGAAGGATCGCTCGCTGGACACAGGCGCTCCCACAGGAGCCAGCAGCGGGTAGGGTGGAGGAGGGACACGCAGAGCACGGGTGGGCTTCCACTATGGCCTTGGTGCTGGGAGAACCACGTCATCCTCTGTCCCAGCTTAAGGATGGGTGTCCCATCAGCATGAGGGTGGGCAGAGGGGTGGAGCAATGGCAGGAAAGGGAATTTTGGAAAGGGGTGGCCTGGCTAGGGCAGATAGTCATCAAAGACTCTGAGGGTCACCACTTCAGCCTCAAGCTGAGTGCAGTCCGCAGTCCAGGACAAGGGGCTCAGGGCTGCCCACTGGGCAGGGCTGGAGAGCTCCTCCTACTCCCCCCACCCATGCTGGCTCCCAGGAAGCCAGATCTCAGCCATCCTTCGTCGCCTGCTTGGTGTCCGTGCTGATGAAGCCCCTCTCCTTGCTTTTCTTGCCTCAGGAAGGCAAGGAGGGAGCCAAGGCCTTAGGCTTCTCTCCATGACTTGACTGGGGCCACACTGATCTGCAAGCCCCAGGGGCCTCCTGGACCCAGCATCTTCCTGTCCCTCAGTGGGGTAGCCCTGTGAGCTGCCCAGGGAACCTACTCTTCCTGCCGTGCTCCTTGGTCCCGGTCATTTCACGACCTCAGGCTGGGGCCTGCACTGGCGAGCCCTTCCCTGCCACTTGAGACTTGGCCCTGGCCCCACTTGACATCTCCTCTCCACCCCCCTCCCTGCCTGAGGCCCCTCCCCTGCCCTGCCCAGTATCAGACAGCTGGCCTCCTGCGTGGGCAGGCCTGTCCATCCAGCCCCAGCCTGGCCTCTGTGGCCTGCCCAGGGTCACCCAGAGGGGTAGTAGGGGGTATCGCTGTGGTAGTTGTAATCTGGGCACACCTTCTGGACGAGCCTATAGTCTGTGCTGTAGAAGGCGATGTAGACGCAGACAACTTTGAAGGGCTGGGAGCAGCTCCAGGTGGCTGAGCTTTGGGCATGGTCTCGAGAGCAGGTCTTGGCTGGGTCGTGGGTGCAGAGGGAGGTCCGGCGGCCCCGTTCCACCTTCTCCCACTCCATTCGGCAGTTGAAGATTTTGGAGGCCTTGGCTTCAATGAAGATCTGCTGCTCCTGGTGGAACTCTACAGCTTTACTGGGGGGCACAAGGCTAATGGAGATGTTGCCCTGGCCAGTGGCATTGTGTCGGAAGTGGACGCTGAAGGTCCCATTGCCATGGTCCACGATCTTCCCTGTGACAAGCAGGTTCAGGGCTACCGTCTTGATGTTGGAGTAGAAGTCGCCCCAGCCAAAGATTTTCTTCACCTTGGCTGAAGATGGGGGGCTGTGGTTTGGGCGGTTGGGGGGCTGCCCAAGGACCCCCCATCCCTCCCCAGGTGGAGCCAGCAGCCCCAGGAGAGTGGAGTTGGCCATGGGGCGGGACTTAGGTGAGATGTGGCCCCGTTTCCGAGGCATCCGGGGCCGGGGCTGGCTCTCATGGTCATCGTGCTCAGAGCCCTCTGAGCTGGGAGGCCCATCATCCTGGCCATAGATGACCTGTGGAGGGCATTGGGAAGAGAGTGAAAGCCCTGTCCCCAGAGAATGCAGGAGTTCTGGGCCACCATGCTACACCACTGGCATCATCTCTCTGCCTGTGCCTTCCACCGACTAGGGGCTGAGAGTCTCCTGCCCACTGATGCTGGGGGCTGGGTGTACACTCTGGGTGGTGTCACGGTCCCATCTTATGTTCTCACACTCAGGTCACACCCACCACCTTTCCCCACTGTCCTGCCTCTGGCCACTTTTTAAAGTCTGGAAGGATAATGGAGAATCCTCTCCAGTGGACCATGTCACACTCAGGTCACACCCACCACCTTTCCCCACTGTCCTGCCTCTGGCCACTTTTTAAAGTCTGGAAGGATAATGGAGAATCCTCTCCAGTGGACCATGTCACCAGAGATACACAGCTCCTATCCCTTGGTCTCATCTGGGGGGCCCAGCTCCTGATCTTGTGAGAGGCTCATCCGATGACAGAAGCATGTCCCTGTGCTAACAGAGCCCCCACTGTTATAGAAGAGCTGGAGTCCCTGCTTCTGGAAAATTCCCAGGCTGATGGGAGAGGCACAGTCTCTGCCTTAAAAGAGCCAGAGTCAGAGGACAGCCCCACCCTACGCTGGAAGAGCCCCCAGTTTGACAGGAGAGGTACAGCCCTTGCTTTTTGGGACTTCTTCATCTGGTGGGTGAGACACCACCTCATCCAGAGTAGTTTCTGCCCTCAGAGGCAAAGAGAACCGACAGAAAATAGCCCAGTGAAATTCTCTGTCAAGTGCAAGCGCAGTTTGGGTTTTGGCAAGAGGACCAGGGGGCAGACGTGGAGTGAATTCCACACCCAGGAAACACTCCTCTGGGGACCCCTGATGATGACATGGCAGGACCTTACTTGCACTATGAGGTTGTAGTTGCTATTCCCATTTCACAGATGAGGACACCAGGACTCAAAGATTACATCACTATAAGGCTAAGTCACATAGGGTCAGCCCTCCCATTCCAACGCACACTCCCGGCCTTACAGACCAGATGTGTCCCTTTATAGGGGTTTTATCCAAGCCCCATCCCCACCAGAAATCTCCTGTAAGACTGTGAAGCAGCAGCCAGCCTCTGCTGGGTCAGCTGTGGCAACAGGCAACAACCTGGACGAGGCCACCTGGAGAGGCTGTGGGAAGGGCCTGCAGGACAGCCTGACCTGGCTGCAACACAGGCCAGCTCATAAGGGTATCAGGGAGCAGACAAGGTTTCCTGAGGGCAGCCGCCTGGTGTGTTTACTCAGCTTCTGAAGGGAGGACTTGCTTTTTGTTTGTGTTACCAGCACCAGGGGACCAGCTCACAGCTGGTAGCATCTGGATTTGCTGCTGACCCTGGGGTGAGGATGGAGGAACGCCAAAGGGCTCCAAAAGGTCTTGGGGTCTTCACACCCCCTGTTCTGGCCCTGGCCACACCCAGAATATGCGCGGTGCCCTGGCCTGCTAGGCCCCAGATCAAGGGTGGAGGGACAGCCAGGAGGGGATGCTGGGCTCCAGGCTGCAAACCTGTGTGTTCTTGGCCCTGGGAATCACGGATGGCTGAATGGCTGAAGGAGGGGGAGAAAGACTGCAGGTGGGGATGGAGAAGGGAAGGGTTCTTCCACACAGTGGCTAAGAGCAAGCAGCAAAGGGGATTATTATTGTTTTGAGGAAAGGGGCAGATCCAGACGTGGGTCGAGGCTTCTCCACGACAGGATTGGGGTGGAGGTTTCCGAGGGGAGTGAAGCCCCAGGCTGGGGGCTGGGGTGGGATTCCCCGGCGTCGCTGGCCTCCGGGAAGCCGCGAGCGAGCGCACGGGGAGCGGGTTCCGGACGCTCCGCTCAGCAGCCGCGAGCGCCCGGGGCGGGAGCCGCCTGCCCAGGTCCTGTGGGGCTCGAGCTGCGCGCAGCCGGGAGAGGAGAGGAAAACAACAGGCGGGGAGGGAGGGCGCGGGAGGGAAGGCGGGAGCGAGGGACGAGGGGGCCGCCCCATGCCTGGACAGGCTCCGCGCGCTGGGGACCCAAGCCTGGGGCCCTCAGGGTCCCCGAGGTCGGAGAAAGCCCACGCCCCCTGACCAGGCAGGTCACCAGCTCCACAACCCACTGCCCACTCGCCTTCCGCGCATCCCGGGGCGCGCGGAAAGGGTCGAGTAACCCTTGGCGATCCGCTGGTGGCCTTCACCCTCGTGCTCGTCGCACATCCCGCCACCAGGCGCTGGTGGGTGGGCCAGCCAAGCACCCTCTCCCCGCCCCTATTAACCCCCTCGGTGCAGCCTCGGTCCTCGGACCCGCCCTCTCCCCCCAGCCTCCAGGCGTCTCCTCCGTGCCGGGGATGCTGGGGGGGAAGGAGAAAGTTTCCGGGCTCGGGAGCTTCCCGCGCTCTCCCCCAGTCCTCCAGGCCCCCGCCCCTCCGCGCAGCTCCCCGCAGACCACTCACCAGATAGAGGCTGCCCTGCACTAGGAACACGAAGCAGCAGCGGGTCAGTTGCATCTTCCTCCTTTGCTCTCGTGCGCCTTTCTTTCCTCTCTTCCTTTCGGGGTCCCAGGCCCCGTCCTCACCTCAGCTCTTCAGGCGCGCCGTCCCATGCTCCAGTCCCCGGCGACTCTCCGCCCTCCCCTCTGCCAGCCGCCCAGGACCGACCCCACCCCCTTCGGTCCAGCTGTGTAGCCGCCACCCCCTTCCCCTGGTCCAGCTGCGCGCCGCGCGGCCCCCTCTCGAGGTTCCAGATGTGCACCTCGAGCGCTTCGAAGGGCCCCAGCTGCTCGGTGGCTCTGCGGCTCCAGATCTGCGCTCGGCGCCCCCTCGGTTCCAGCCGCGCTGCTCTCGCCCAGATGTGCTGGGGACCCGCGCGCGCGCCCGTCCCCCGTGCTAATTCCCCAGACCAGACGGCCCCTCCCGCCCCGTCGCGGCGCGCCCCCTGGCGGACGCCCCCGGCCGCGCCGAGCCCCGGCCGCCCGCTCCCCGCGCAGCACCCCGCCAGACTGGAGCGCTCCTGGCGCCCAGGCGGCTCCCTCTTCCTCGTCCCTCCCACCGGCGGCGGCGGTGGCGGCGGCGGCGGCGGCGGCGGCAGGTACAGTGATCCCAGCCGGTACCTACGGAGTTAACTCCTCCCATGCCGGCCTGCAGCCCGGGGACCTAGGACGAAGGGGATAGGACGCGGGGGCGGAACAACTCTTGGCGAGGAAGGGAGAGAGAGAGGGTGGTGGCCCTGGAAGAGGAACCCCACCTTTTCTACCCCTCTGACAGGGCGGATTCCGTGGCGGGTATTGGGAATCCACTGCCCTACCCTGAACCCCAGGAGACCTGGAATCTGGAAAGAGTATTTTTCCAAGCCCATTCCAACAGCCAGAAAAGGTCAATAACGTATCCTGTTGCCATACCCGAAAGTCCACTTTCTCTCTGTAAGACTTGGTTCTGTGCTGACGGAAGTTCTTCTAGGTGTCTAGCCTGTACTCCTTTTGTTACAATGTCAGTTCCTTTCCTCTTCTACTTTACTCAGAGGGGCTGGCATAGCACCCACCCCACCACCCCAATTCTCAGTCTAATCACTGTGACAGGAAACTTCCGGCCAGAGCCCTGGGCTGAAAAGTTCCCTAGGGACCAGGCTGGATTCTGGGGCGGGGTCAGGAGTAAGCCTGTGAAGGTTGGGAGGCAGGTGAGCAAGGCCTCCCTGGAGGCTATCCCTCCATCCTTCACTACCTACTTTCCCTGTGACCCAGGGAGTGACTAGCCTGAGATGTGGGGCGCTTATCCCAGTGGGGTCCTGGGTTATCTTTGGTCTCTGTAAACTTTCAGGGCAAGGAGGAAGAATAAGACCCTGATTTGAGATTATCAGATGGGTCCCATCCCCCATGACCCCCACTCATCTCCATGTTTCCTTCCTAGAATTCCAGGGCTCTTTTAGACCTTAGAAAAACCCAAGGTCAGGTCCTAGCAACACCTGGAGGCTGTGAGGGTAAGGAGGCACCCCAGCATTTGGAGTGCCCCAGCCTGGGCTGAGCCCATGGATTCAGATGGGTGGGCACTGCTCTATGGCCCTGGAGGCCCAGCTCAGTCTCTGGCTGCAGCCCCCAGCACGCACCCAGCCTCCTCCCCCACCATCTGCCAGGCGGGTGCACGGGGAATGCAGATGAATCTTAATATCAGCTTGGGCCAAATGTGATGAGGGAGCCGGATTCTGCAGAACCCAGACAGCACCATAGATAGAGCCCCTTGCATTCCCCAGGCACCTTGGATGGTACCAGCATGCAGCAGCCCTTCCCTAGTGGTGGTAAGGGGTGTGCATGTCTAATCAAAGACCCTCATAGCCAGGGGAGGAAGGAACAGATAAATCCTCATCTGGCCTCTGAGCCTCTGGTCTGGCTGGGAGGAAGAAGCTGTCGGCCTGAGCGTGGGCAGCTGATTCTAGCACTCAGCTAGGCAGAGGCATAGCTGGCCCCACTCCCTGTCGATCTCCAGAAAGGTCCTGTCCCCAGGAGAGCAATGTGGCCCAGCAGAAAGAGCACAGGTTTTCAGGCCTGTTAGTCCTGGATTCCACTCCAGACCTGGCTGTGTGACCTTGGGCAGGTTGCTTTGGTTCTCTGATGCCAGTTTCCTGATCTGTTGTTGCAAGAACCAAATGAGACCAAATGTGCAAACAAAGCTCAGGCACAATGGCTGGCAAGCAATCGTGGGGGTACAATCAAGGGAAATTCTTGCTTTTCTACTTCCCACACATTTGCTCTGTCTGTGCCTCCTGCCAGGCCTGCCCTCACTGCCCTTTCAGCCAGTCCTGGTGCTCACTTCCTTCAAGTTTCCCCTCTGCATTCATTCATCAACCACTGTCCGAGCCTGTCCTCAGTGCCAGGCACCAGGCCAGGGTCTAGGATACAGAGATGAATGGGATACCATCCCTGCCCTCCAGGATCTCACTGGCTAGTGCAGAACTGAGACATGGAAATCGATTATTATAATTCAGTGTGGTGAGTGGAATAACAGATCCCTGTATCAGGCATTATGGATGCACCAAGGATGGGGTGGGAGGGCAGGAGCAGGGAGGGTCAGTCGTGGCCTCTTGAGGAGGTGATGCCAAAAGCTGTGATGAAGGGTCAGTCATGTAAGGGCTATTCCTGGTAGGGGGTACTGACAGGTCAAAGGTCTGGAGGCTGGAAGTGAAGCAGTTTGCTGGTACTGGAGTACAGAGGGGAGGAGAGGAAGCTGGAGCAGGAGGCTGGGCCAGCTGATGGAGGGTCTTATGTGTTGGGTTAAGGGGTTAGGACCTTTGAAGGGCATTATGGGGGCTGGTGGTTAGAGTCAGATTTGCATTTGAGAGAGCTTTTGGAGAACTGACTAGAAAAAGAATAGACCAGAGGGAGCGGAGCAGGAGGGAAGCAGTTAGGAGATAAAAGCAATGATCTGGTGTAAGAGATGGGGGACTGAAGACATCTTTAGGAGGCAAAATAATCAGGATTTGTTGTTGCAGAGATGAGGGAGGAAGGGAGAAAGAGAGTCAAGTATGGTACCCAAGTTTCTGGCTTGGGCAACAGGCAAAATGCTTGCTGAGGTGAGCACCATGGGCATGCAGAAGAAGATGGGTTCTGGGGAAAGGTGGTGGAGCCAGCTTTGGTCATGTCAAGTCTGCATGCTGCTGGCCTCTGGCTTTGGCTGAGCTTCCTTCACCAGCTACATCCCACCTCAGTCCCTTGAGCTGCTCTCAGGGTGGGGAGACAGATCACAGTGAACTTTGTGCACAGCTGCGACCATTCAGACTCCCCTCCCTGGGTCCCCCAATGCCCCTCCTTCACCATGCCCTTCTAGCAAATGAGGCAAAATACAATGCATGAGTCCCACCCCTCAGCCCTCCAGCCTCCTCCGTGCTCATGTGCACCTGGAAGTGGGTTAGCAGGCATCCTGTCCGTAGCCCTTCCCTCCTCCCTGCCTGCCCAGTGCTGCAGGCAAGAAAACAACACAGTGGGCACCTGATCACTGTTTATCGAATGAATGGAAATAGGGTTCCTGATAGTCTCGTTTACCTGGCAATTTGCTATTTTAAAGTGTTAATGATAGAGTACTATGTATAGGGGTTTCAAGGAGCCCAGAGGGAAACCCTAATTCAAGTGAGGGGGCTGAGGACCAATCCCAGAGAAATTAGTCTTGTGATATGTGGATCAGCCCCTTGGGAAGGGAAAGAAAGAACCTTCCAGGCACAGGAAGCAGTTCAGGCAAAGGCCAGAGATGAAAGCAAGCCTGGGAATGGAGTTCTGATGAGGACAAGATGAAAGAATCATTTGTTCTACAAATAGTTATCAAGTGTCTACTTTAATGTTCGGTCCTGGGCTGGGTGTGGGGGTAGGGCCAAGATGGAGAATCTGCAGTCCTTATTCACATGGAGAATTTGGGCTCTGGGAGAGACAGAGATGAAATAGCTAAGCACATGAAAACACAAGCTCTGAGATTTTGGAAAGTGCTGTGAAGGAAAACCAAGTTCTGAGCAAGAGAGAAAAGAGAAACTAAGGATAGGTCAGGGAAAACTTCGAGCTCTGACATGTCAGCTAGGATCTAATGATGAGGAGGCCTTGGCCAGCTGTAGGGCTGGGGAAGTGGCCTTCCAGGCAGAGGGAACAGTACCTGCAAAGACCCTGAGACTAAGATGAGTTTGGTGCTTTAGCATTGCTGAAGGAAGTGAGTGTAGTAAAGGAGGGGATAGTGAGAGAGAGAGCCAGGGAGGTGGGCAGGGGCTAGATGGACCTGGGCTTCATGAGTCTGGTTAAAGGTTTGTTGAGTTCCATCCCTAGATTAAGGTGTTTGGGGGTTTTTATGACAAGTTTTAAACAAGAGTCAGATTTGCACTTCAGAATGATCACTGGAAAGATCACTTTGACAGCAGTGTGGAAGGTGGATTTGAGGCAGAGTGAAACTGGAGGCTGGGAGGTGACAGAAGGCTGAATTAGAACAGATACCATGAGGATGGGTTGGGGACGGCCTTGAAGGACAGACAGTAAGGGATGGAATGGAGAAGAGTCAGACGCCAAGACTTGGGGTGGAAGTCAGAGATAACCCCTGCCTTCTGGCCTGGAGAACAGGACAAGAGCAGGTTTGCAGGAGGGCATGTGCAGTGCTGTCCTGAACAGGTGGACCGTCAGGTGCTCTAGGGTGCTCAGGTGCAGAGTAGAGGTGTATGAACTTTAAGAATCATCACCGGTGAGAATGTAAAAAGTTTGCAAAGGACAGAGCAAAGTAAGGGTGCAAAATGGGGCTGCCAGGGCCCATGATGTCAGATGGAGTGAGGGAAGGGAGGGGGCAGCAGGACAGGGGAGGGCAGGGGGGCCAGGGAAGCAGTGGGGAGACCCTGGCCCTGAAGGCCCTGAGGGAAGCTGCTCACTACAACCCAAACCCTGCTCGTCTCAGGCTTTAAGAGGGTAATTTTGTCCATACCCCTGCCTCTCACAGGACCTCATCAGCCAGGAGGGACTTCTCCTGGCTGTAAGGACTCCCACATGCGCTCTGGTAGAGTGGAAAGGGCCAGGATGCGGAGTCTAGCAGCCCTGTGTTAGGGGCCTGGCTCTGGGTTCTGCGATGTGGGTGATCTTGGATGAACCTCCCCTTTTCCTTGGGTTTCAGCTTTCCTGTCTGTAAAGGGGGATCACCTGCCCATC